GAAGCATAAAAACCAACAATACATTTGCAGAATCAACGTCATGAATTTTCTGCATAGCAGATTGAGGATGACACTATCACTTGGTGACAATTAGGTTTAAAGTATAAGCACCTTGATCAGCACTAAACACATTAGTTCCTTAAAAGGTTGCTCTACGTATGCATCTATGCATCTTGGTATTGCACCATTCAAAACAAATCAGTGCTGTCTTGTTTTAATATGAGTTGCTCCTCTGCGGTTTCTCCGCCTGTGCTCAATATTTCAAAAAATACTCTGCATTTCAAATATGCTTTATTCCATTTGTGAAAACTGAATTGTATAAACACCATTCGACTCGTTATTCGAACAGACCCCTACCTTCACCTAAAGTTGCAGTCAGGAATGAAGCAACAAAATTAAGCTTTCTTTATCGTTTTTTAGGGTGCTGTCCTCACTGCTCAAAAATGTATGATCCACATGCAATAAAACCACTTGAATGCCAAAAAAGAAAAAGGGGTGGGGGGACTTAGCGCTGTCGAGCGCTAGGCTTCTTTCGGGTAATTTGCGATGCCGATGGCCGCCTCGTGTAGCACCTCTAGCGGCATTGGCGCACAGAAGGACTCTCTCCAGCAAAGGAACCGCTCGGCGCCGTGCACACCTCCCGAATCTAGCCACTCCAACAAAAGTGTCAAGCCTACCTCCTCGCGTCATGCTTTCGCACCTCATAGTGAACCAATTAAAAATTCTTGTAGTTCAAAGCTCTTGATTGAGTACACAACTTCTAGTGCCTAAATAAGATTTCTCATGTGATCTGATGCCAGCGCCCCTTAAGAAGTAAATTGCAAACGAAACAAAAGACACGTGGACATCAGATTTCTATTTTTCGACCAACACCATACTTTCCCCCGAGATACCCCACGGTTTCCTTCTCCATCTTCTTGCACAGAGGCACCTCCTGTTCCCCGCTCCCCCTCCCCTCCTCCCACCATGTGCGTGCGTACGTGTACGCGACTGGAGCACTGCCGCGCGGCCGTCAGAGCAAACAGTTGTAGAGAGCCCAAGCAGAAACAAGTGCTCTCCCAGTGCCCACTAGCACATAGTTTATCGAAATCGGAAACTGCTGTGTAGTCAATTGTACCAACAGGTACACGCCGTGCCCTGCGGGAACGACATTTCACAGTTTCAATACTCTTCCATGCTTTTTGCGTAGCGAAATGAGTAGCGGACGCCTGTGCGACGTAAACAGTGTTTTCAGGTCCCGCTCCCTCTGCCGTCTTGCGTTCTGCTAGTGCATGCTCAAAATGGTCTGAGACACCACCCCTGCAGGTGCAATGATCTTACGTAATATTCCAGCTGCCATAAAGATGATGAGAAAAGAAACGTATGCAAAATATTTTAATTGAGCTTGATACTGATGAAATCTTTTAATAAACCTCAATAATTCCTTTTGCAGCTTTAAAAAATGCAATGCAAAGTCAATTAGTTCTTTGTTGAGTTGATAAGACCATCAGTTAACAGAGAACTGTATTAAGCCCAGCAGCGCTATTCACAAGAAAGACTAAATTCACAAGAACGACTAATATTGTTGATGAATAACCTTAGAATTCTATTCGTTTCGTCTCGCATAGTAAATCACATACAGCATCGCAAACACTTTTGTGACTAATACCCAGTGATGAAGCCCCCTAAAAAAAGAACCACCAGAAGTGATAAATTGAATCTTATCCTTCGGAGTCATTCATCCAGAAGTCTATTTTTTTATTGGTAAACAACCTGCATGTTAGGAAAAAATTATTCAGAGCAGAACTATATTGTAAAGACGAAGCTTTCCGAATGTTTTAGCAATGAATGTGCATGTTGGTGTTTGTTTCGAAAAGCCAATGAGAGAGGGATGTTTTGGGTCATTATCATCATCAGTCTGACTACGTCCACTGCAGGGCAAAGGCTTCTCCCATGTTCTGCCAGTTAACTTGGTCCTGTGCTTGCTGCTGCCAATTTATACCCGCAAACTTCTTAATCTCATCTGCCCACCTAACCTTCTGTCTCCCCCTAACCCGATTGCCTTCTCTGGGAATCCAGTTGGTTACCCTTACTGACCAGCGGTTATCCTGTCTACGCGCTTCATGCCAGGCCCATGTTTCGGGTAGTCCGTGACAAACGGGAACCAAAGTGACTGTGGCCCAAGTGATAGCTAAAGACGAAACAGGGCTGCGGCATCCTCTCTGGCCGAAATCGTAGTGCGTTCTTTTTCTCGTCCGTGCTTCAAGCTCTTAGCTATGAGCTGCGCGAGCGGCAAGGTAAACACTATGTTGAGTGATGATAATGCCGCAACAATTTCAAGCAAAGCACTTTGCAAGGCTCAGTGGCTCAAAATTTTCGTGGCATGGAGCCACAACAAATCAGCACGGTGCATGGCTACTCACCATGATATTTAAGGCAAGTGGCTGTGGAGCCATCAATATTTATAAATGCTCCGAGTATTTTGCAATTATGCGGGTAGTAGGCACGCACCAACAATATTCTCAGTGTGAAAGAATGACAGCTTAGCGCAACAGTTATGAAGCACGCACAACTGACGCACGCATTTAGCCGTCAGTACTGACAACAGGCAGCAAGGTGCTCACTAATGTAGAAAACGTGGCCATTCTCAGGCGGAAGAATGCGGAAGAATGTCCCGTTATAATATTTTGAAATCCTGCTGGAAGCACGAACTAATTCGTCGGCCACGGGTGCTTCCTCCGTCACAGCTTTCAAATCAATGAGGCACTGCTATCTGGTAAGATTCTCAATGTTGCACGCCCGCTGCACCACAAGTGGTCCTGTGCGCGCCTTTCAAGGCGCCCCCTATAGATCCCAAACGAAGTGGATACACGCACTCGGGTCTTAAAGGAGATGCTTCGATGCTTTATAAATACTGGATTGGTACACCGGCTGTAAAAGCCGCCCACCACGTCCTCAGCCATAGACGCCACTCTCCTCTCCTTCCCGTCTCGTCTTCTCACCTTTATTTTCGTCTCCCCTATTTAACTGTTTGATGGAACGGGCTCCTATTTAGGGCTGCAGAAGTAGCGTATTTTTCTCTCCTCTTCTCCCGCCTTTAACCGTTCGTGCTATCTTAGAGTGGGGGTGTTAGGTGGCTGTCATGTCCCATTTTACTGCAGCTAGCGGTTGCTTTCCAGAAGTTTGCTGAACTAGGGATCTAGGTTTCACCCTGTAATGTTCTGAAAGGTCAATTTTGCCCTATAACATGAATAACTGTCTCAAACTGTACTCCAAAGTAAAGTTAAATATTGTTTGTATGAAGGTTAAATAGTGTTCGTATATTCACTGATCTTGAAAATACGCATTTAAAACATTTGTAGAAATTGAGGCACAAACATCAAAAATAGGCATTTGTAGTGTCACGGGGTCATGATGCGTACGAAGGGAGCAGACTTAATGTTTCGATTAAATTGCTTATTCGACTGAAGTTGTGGCCACGCAAAAGAAAAAACAGCTTATAGCAATACACTGGAACTGATAACAGCAAACAGAGCGTCAGCCGTCGATCAACTGAAGAGCTGTGAAGAGCCTTGACATTTATACACGTGTCGTCGAATATTCTAACGTTATCGCTAGTGGCCACGTAGGTTCCAGAATAATCTGTAATGTTCGCAAAGTGGGCGTAATCTTAATGAAATGACCTACTACAGTCCTGAAGCTTCTCTAACAATGGAGGCGGGGCTTGCACTGAGAATTACGTACAGTGCAACGGTGCGACAACAAAACTCGAGAAAGGAATGTGGCAATAGGCACTATAAAAACTCTTTAAACACTCTCCTTAGCCCCTAATTCATGCTCATGTATCAAAAAGGCATGATAGGAACCAAGAAGGCATTTTGTTAAGAACAAAATAGGCATGAACAATGCCGAGATTCATTACTGCTCTACATCAATGATTGTCTTCAATAATGAAATAGAGATCCTTCACTCAGCCTGTTCCTTGCAACAAGACAACGTTTTGTACTGCCACAACTTACACCCCGATGGCGCGGAACTTTTGCTTGTCGTCCCACATTATTTCCACATAATTAAAAGACAGGGGACATACGGTCCACAAGTAGAAAGCAAAACAAAAAACTGCTCTCGGCAGCATGCGAGGTGGTGTGGGGGACAAACTGAGGAGGTTCGGCATAATAAAAACCAAAAACATCACCAAGCAAGGAGGCGCCGCTAGTCGGTTCACGGGACTGCAGCGTATGAGCGTAGGAAGTGCGTTCATCACAAGGGAGAAAAATAGAAATTTTGATGACTGAGGCTCCGGGTGCATTTTTTATGGGAGTGCGTTCATTACACGAGAAAATATGGTATGTGATAAGATTATCCTGCACATTCATTTGCGAAACTTGGTCATGCATGCTGCAGTTTCTTGTAATGCTCGAAGCAAGTATCCTGCACCCATTCAAAAACGCAATGAAAGAATAAACTTTCATCCGGCTGTTCATAGTACAAAGGTACAACAAAATACGCATGCATTAATGAAAAAACGCTGACATGAAATTTGTCCTCTGCCCCAGAAGCTTTCATTGAACAGAAATCTTTTCAGTAAAAAAAATTGCGTTTTTCGCAGTGACTGCAAAAGCAGCGCCTTGTGTTTTCTCTGGGATTCTAGTGCACAAGTGCTTGAAGTGAACAAATCAGCAGGCTGGCACGTAAGAAAGGACATGCATCCTTTCTTACATAAACATTCTCAAGTTTCCCAAGCAGCTATTTTCAAAAACACGCGCTCCCTTAGTCTGTAATATTTAGACCACCACTGCACTGTTTACGACTATATGAACATTCGATAACTTCTGAATTGGGTAATGTAGGGAAAACTAGATGTTATGTAATTGATGTGATTCCTTCCAGTGCTTTTAAGTACATCAGATGCTAGCTCCCTGCAACATAGGCATGCAAATTGCACAGTTTTGGCAAGAGCTATGATTTCTAGACAATCTGCTCACAATCTCATGGCATCAAAAGAACTAGTGACCACCGACCTGACGATAGTTTGGCTGGCAGTTGTTCGCCTTCCACTCAGTCCACATCTGCTTGGAGTGGTTTGTCGTGAGCGACTCTTCCTGGAAGCCCATCTCCACAGCAAACTGGGTGGCTGCATTGGCACAGTTTCGGAGACAGTGTAGTCACAAAGCGTGCTTCTCTGGCAATACACTACAGGCAGCAAGAAGATCTTTCATGTTTCAAGAGTACAAGGCAGGAAATGAATTAAAAATTTTAAGATAATAGCAAAAAACATGAACTTACTAAGTAGAAGACAAAACACCTCACCGTCTGCAAATGCAGAATTCAAAAAGGAAGAAAAAAATTTTAGAAACACAAGATGCACAAAGCTGAATCTTTTTCAATTTCCTATCTCACATGTACGTAGTATAATTTTTTTAGTTATGGGTGCCAATATCATGACATGATCATTAGACAACCTCTAGAGGAGTGCTCCAGATAAACTCAACTACTTGGGGTTCTTTAGCTTGCACTGACATTGCACAGAACATGAGCTTTCATCCTCCATCGAAGTACGACCGCCACTACCAGGAGCAAAACAGCAGTGGTTTTTCATGTTCATGTAAGCATGTTTTTAGTGACCAAGTCGTCAGATGGCAAGAACACAAGAGCAACTAATTGAGCATTAATAGTCGTGTCCGTCGCAAACAGCTTGGACTAGACAAATGACAGCTCATCAGTGAACATAGAATTTGTCTCCACCACTAGTCTATACACATCTTAATAAACTCATTTCAATTTTTTTTGAAAGCAGATTGCAACAATCCTTAGCTGAATGAAGGACAGCCATACCTTTTTCACCAACGAGGAATGTATGGGTAGAACGCTCCATGACTGCTCGTGCAACAGAGATGGCATGCTTCACCCGGCGCAAGTCGCCCACAGCCCCCATCGAGTAGCTAGGGCTGCAAAATGCAAGCCAGGACATGAAGGACAGCATCTGGGAGCAGGCACAGCAAGCAAGAATTGGCACATTAGGACGGCTCAAAGCTCTTTCTTCAACAGAAGGCATGCTATTCCTTCAACAGGGTTTAAGAATATAATTGCATGCATCACCCCGAACTAGTCGCTCATTACTAACGTGAAAACTACTTTACTGAGTGCAGGAACTACACTCAAACCTTATTAAAACAAAGTTGCATCTCACAGCAAAATAAGTTCTTTATACCCAGAAATTTGTTACAAAGGTTTATTTTTCACACTATCTATTGCAGGACTATTTTTCATTTAAATTGTTGTGACCGATATTTCGTTATATCAAGGTTTTAATGTATAGGCTTCAGCTATAAGTGACTACTGCCCAAGTTTCATGTTTTTCTTTACCTACAAAACTAGTCGTAAAAACGTAATTATGAAGCAGTACATTTCAGACGACACTTTACCTTTATTTAAACATCATATTAGAGGTCAAGATTCGTATCATATACAAAACTAAATATGTACAGTGTCAATATTTATGAAAGGGAACACGGGAGCGCATGGCCTGCAAGCTCTGGTGGCTGCTAGCAGGGTGTTCAAGCGAGAGCGATAGCAATTACTGTCTTTTCTCCCGTCACCTCGCTGGCGAGCAAAAGAACCATTCATTGCTGATATGGAACCAGCAGCAAGATTCCAATCTTCAAGGCGATTACCAGCTTTTGCCTAATCACCTTTATGAGGAAGGGGGCTGCAATCTTGCCAGCAGTTCCATACCAGCACTGACATCTTGTTTAGCTCACCGCGAGATGACGCGAGAAGAGACTGTGGTTGCTATCGCTCCAGCTTGAACGCCCTGCCAGCAGCCGCCGGAGTACGCAGGCCACGTACTCCCGTGTTCTCTTAAAAAAAAATTGACACTGTACAGGTTGCATATTTGAAGTTTATTGAAATATTTTTCCAAATTTATGCCACACACTTTTCTTTCAGATATATCAGGTCCATTCGACTCACCCTACACTTCCTCAGCTGCTTTATAATAGTGCTGTCTGGGTGCCATCGCTGTGCAGGTGACGTTTCAGCAAGTGCAGCAGCAACGAGACGCGGAAATGAATACAAGAGTGCAGATGTTGTGCAAGCCCTATGCTACCGGTCGACTGTCTCACGGGGTGTAGAGGCTGTGGTTCTGAAAAAACAGCGCTGCAGACATTGCTTGGAATGTGCAATTGCCAGAGAACATCCACTGTCGTACTTGGATGCCACTAAGACAGACAGGAATGCAATCGACTATGTCGTCTCCTGCTGCTGCAGCCATCTTGTGCTGCACATACTCGGCACTTCTTCACGTGCAAGTGCAGGGCCTTGCATGACAGCTGCACTTTTTCTAAACAAATACTGCGGTGCTGCTGCCGCCATGTTCCACTAGTGAAACTACTGCCGAAGTGCAGCGCCTCTATGAGCAGGTTCATAAAGTGCAGGTGAAACAAATTGACCTGTTAAACTATGAAAAACAAGCAAACCTTGGCTCATACAAACTCCTGAAAAACCTTTTAATAAAAACAATTAAACATTGCACACCTTCTTGCATATAAAGATGTATTCAAATCTGAAAAATGTTTAAACTCTCCGAAATAAACTTGACGGTGATCTTTAAATTGGCTAAGATAGCATATTGTCACGTGCTACAAAAGGTCTTCAACTAGGAAGAATTGAGCCTGTGGGGAGAAGCACCAAACACTGGCAAGATGGCTGCTTCAATAATAAACAACTAGCCAGAGCACGCGCTCGCCGTAACTAGCGGCCAAGTGGCATTATTCCCCCTCTGAGAAAAAAAAAGGCATCACTCCGATGCTCGGAAAGTACAAAGGCAAAGTTGGGGGGAACCAACACAAAATACGTGCATACACAAAAACAGCGATATGGTTTATGCGCAGTCGCACTACCGCGTGAAGTACGGCTTCAGGCGCACCACGTGGACAATCTCTGAAGAGTTCCTTCACCGCCGTGGCGAGAAGGCGTTGTCAGGGGCTACCTCGTCGTTCACATCGCTCACGCGTCGCAAGACTTTGTATGATCCGAAGTAGCGACTGAGCAGTTTTTCTGACAATCCCTGGCATCGGACTGGAGTCTACACCCAAACTTGATCGCCTGGATGGTATTCAACTTGTCGATGACGAGCGTTGTAGCGGCATGCGTCTGTACTCTGCTGGTGCGTAATGTGTAGGCGTGCTAACTGGCGTGCTTCTTTGGCGTACTGGGTAAGCTGCACGCACAGCATCAGGAGTGATCGAAGCATCGCAATTGTGTGGAAGCATCGCATTCGGCATGGTCTGGACCTCACGTCCATACCATAAAGACGGAAAAGCGTGAATCGCGTAGTTTCCTGGACGGCAGTATTGTACGCGAATGTGACGTATGGTAGCACCTGGTCCCAGGTCTTATGCTGGACATCTACGTACATAGATAACATGTCAGCGATGGTCTTGAGTCGCTCTGTCAAGCCGTTGCTCTGCGGATGATATGCCGTGGTCTTGCGATGGCTCGTGTAGCTGAGCTTGAATACATCATGAATGAGCTGGGCCGTGAATGCTGTTCCTCTGTCTGTGATTACGCAGGAGCAGGGTGCCATGTCGAAGATCGATATGGTCCATAAAGAATTGGGGGACGTCGGAAGCAGTAGCGCGTTGTAGTGCCTTTGTTTCGGCGTACTTGGTCAAATAGTCGGTGGCTACTACGATCCACTTGTTGCCGGCAGATGATAGCGGAAAGGGCCCCAGTAAATCCATTCCTATTTGATCAAATGGCGCTCTGGGTGGTTCTATTGGTTGAAGAAGCCCCGCAGGCTCTAGTGGCGGGGATTTGCGGCATTGACATTCCCAGTAGCTTTTCACGTATCGCTTAGCTGATGCAGAAAGCTTAGGCCGGTAGTATGCTTGTCGAACTCGAGCGAGAGTTCGAGAGGAACCTAAGTGACCAGATGTGGGCTCATCGTGGCAGGCAAGAAGAATGTCATCACGCATGTCAGTTGGCACAACTAGAAGATAGGTTCTCTCTTTGCCGTTGGAGTTTTTTTTATACAGGACCCCATCTCGCAGACAGAACGACGACAGACTTCGAGAAATACATCGAGGTATAGACGAGTTGCGTCCTTCAAGGTTTTCGATAACTGCTCGAATTTCATCGTCCGCACGCTGTCGCGTAATCAGATCTGTTGTAGTAAGGACCCCAAGGAAACCATCGTCATCCTCGGTGTCGTGGCCACAAACTTCGACCGGTGCACGGGATAATGAATCAGCATCTTCGTGCTTGCGGCCCAATTTGTAAGCGATCGTGAAATCGTATTCCTGCAGACGAAGACTTCATCATGCCAGTCGCCCACACGGGTCCCTTAGGTTGGCTAACCAGCACAACAAATGATGGTCGGTCACTACCTTGAAGTGGCGTCCATATAGGTAAGGCCTAAATTTCATCGTGGCCCATACAACAGCGAGGCACTCTTTCTCTGACGTGGAGTAGTTCACCTCGACGTGGGAAAGAGTGCGGCTAGCGTACGCTATGACTCGCTCTGTGCCCTCTTATTGTTGTACGAGGGCAGCACCAAGACCCCTCGTTGCTGGCGTCAGTATGAATTTCAGTATCAGCGTCTTGGTCAAAGTGAGCGAGGACTGGTTGTGTCTGCAAACGCTCCCGTAGTTCAGAGAAAGCTGCGTCCTGTTCTTCCTCCCAGACGAATGGAACATCTTCACGAGTGAGTCGAGTGTGCGGTTCAGTCGCGCCTACAAATGCCGAATGAATGCGTCATGATGTTCGTCGAGGACATGACGAGCCTCTTTCGTCGAGCTGACCCTGGTATGGCAGAAGAAAAGAAGGTCCGTCATTTAATGCGAGGAGTGAAGGAGCAGCTTTTCGCTGGCCTCATTCGCTGTCCCCCAAAGACCGTGGCGGAATTTTTGACAAGTGGCAATATTATAAATGAATCTTCTCTGATATCAAAGGTCAACAGCCAGAAGTCCTGGTGAAAATGTTAAACGAGGTTCTGGTTCTGGGTTGTGATAATAAATTGGAAACACCCCTAAGGCTTGACAACCATAAAATTGTCAGACATGCAGTTGGGAATCATTTCAACATCGCTTTCTTAAAGCATGCTTTGCCAGATAATAAGCCAGAAGGTATGTGGCAGATAATCAATTGCCCAGCTGAGAGCTTCACTTCGCACGATAGAAGTGAAAGTGACATTTCTCGCACATTCATAGGTAAAAAAAACAGTAAAGCTTGATATAAATAACTCGCAGACTAAGCCTACGAAATATGTTATCAAACATTTTGCACCTATCTTTGCTTACCTATTAAATCTAACCATTCAAAGGTGAATTTACTACTGTAATGAAAAAAAATTGAAGGTGTTTGTTATTTACAAAGGTGGCAATAAGAATGACATTAAAAATTATAGACTGATATTTGTGATTGTTCAAAAGACTTGGAAAAAAACTTTTTTTTTCTGCTCAATGCCTTCTTCAGCAAAACAAAATTTACTTTCTGATGTGCAGTTTGGTTTTAGAAAAGGTTGTTCTACCAAAACAGCTTTATTAACTCTAAAATAGTGTGCTACCAAAAAAGAGTGTGTGCTACAAAACTTTGAAAATAATTTTATAACTTTAAGTCTCCTCCTTGATTATAGTAAGGCTTTGGATTTATTGAATGATAGTGATCTTCTACTAAAGCAATCATATTTAGGAATTCATGGTAAGCAGCTCAGACTATCGTTCATTTTACCTTTTTATAAAATGTGGCTGTGTCCTCTTTTTTTTCAATGTATACATTAACGATACTGCCAGCATTAATGCAACCTCAAAATTTATTATCTATGCGGGTGAGAGCACTATCCTGCTGTTTGGCCCTGATCAAAAGGTCTAGCATCAAAATGTATTCAGGTCCTTTGAACAGTAGTATCATGGTCACATTCTAACTGCTTAAAAGTTAACCCAACTAA